AAAACTCTCATTTTAATGAATAACTCGGAAAGAATGACTGTCGCCTGGTTAAATTCTTGGAATCGACAGGGTAGCTTAGGATTGTCAATATACCTAGCTTAGCGGCGAAAAACTATTATCATAGCGTCTGTGGGTGAATGACTAACTTGGTTTGAAAGTGCCTGGCTTTATGAATATGGTATATTCGTGGGCGAATCGCTGTCGCAATTTGCTTTAAAATATTTTTCGGCAATAGTTTTACAAAAATATTTATTGGCGAGATAATTTAAAGTTAGATTTTAACTAGACCGGTGAGGTTAGTGATAGTTTAGTAAACGTTAAGATTTATAATGGCTCCAAACAGGACCAGTGGTGATACTTTCAGGCAGAGGCTACTAATATTTCCAGCAGATGTGACTATACGAACCCCTTAAGATTCTTCCCCTTTATTCTCTGTTTTTACAAAAGATGTCTAGTATGCCATAGACGATAGCATTTACAGCACCTTTATTTTTATGGCACTCGATCATCTTCACGATCTAGGTTGGAAATCAGCGTAGGTCGCCAGCATGTCACAAACTATCAAAGTGTCATCAGTAGCTGGAATACGTAGCTGTACAATAAAGAGTTCTATTTTTCATCTACTGCCTGTGAAGTAGTGAACGACAATGAAATTAGACATCCTGCTTAGAACCATTACAACCAGACTCACTGAATTTTATTGCAAGTGGTTTCAATTTTACTTCGATGACACCTTGCGGATCTTACTGAACTAAAGCGCAAAATTAGCGTTATAATTGCAAAACTTTGAGCTTCATTTATGCTATTATTAATTTTTTTTTGGAAAAAGCAATGCGAAAATTATCTTCGAAGTGTCAAGAATCAGTATTTAAAAACTTTAAGCTTCATTAATGCTATTATTAATTTTTTTTCGAGGAAAAAATAATACGAAAACTATCTAGGAAGTGTCAAGAATCAGTATGTGAAATTCCATTAAAATCGGTTGAGCGGTTTTCGTGGTAAGTGATTACAACGGTTTTGGATCTTCTGTTTCATACGTTAATAAGATTGTAAATTTCGTTTTTGAAATTGTTAAAAAAATTAGTCACAATGCGTAACAAGATATCCATTTGTTTATGATCACATTAAATTTTCAGTTCTTCTTTTTACTTCTTTTCTCATAGTTTGGTTAATACATTCGCCTCATAATGGATGTATGAATAATAAATTCTCAGTTTTATTTGCTACTATATAAAATTTTTCTTAATTGTACAGTTGCTCAGGAAAAAATTTTAATCAACAAAGATCATTCAAAGTAAGCTCATAATTATTAAAAGGGCTTCAAACAAAGAAGTTATAATTGAGAATGTAACTTATTTATACTGGGGACTATGTTTATATTGCACTAACGTAAGAGAGATGGACTAGCATCACCATCTCCAGACAACTGTTAGCATACAGTTTTTGGGCACCTGGTGCTCTGACGACGCACGTAGGCGTCAGGAATCTCGTCTGTCCGTCGAAACATGCGGTCACTGATACGAGCAGACATTTGTCGTTGGCTGCATTGTGTATCATTATTGTAACTATATTCTCCATCTCTTTATTAAACGTATCAACTTATAAAAAGTGTGTTTGTTCATTCCCCTCGATGCACGAATAATTTCTCGTACATTAACATGGTAGAAGAACGTAGTTCCATGTGATAACCGTGTACATCCAACACTGGAAAATCGAAAAAAAGCTCTGAAAGTATACTGTTAATTTTAAAGTAGGCCGTTCAAGTTTTTAAATTTAAGAGGTTACATGCAAGTGATCTCAGATATAAAAATGTCAATCTAACACTGAGAAGCTTAGAAATAGTATATTACGTACCAAGGGACTAAAGCAAGCCAGTTCGTGGCTGTTGTAGTGTGCGCCCGAGCGTAGCGAGGGCGCTACANATGTCATAGTCTTCACCCCAAGGTATCCAGGCAGCCACGTTTGCTGGAACTTTAGTCAAGAAAGCGTTTAGTGCAGTGGTCCTTTTTAGGGCCATCAGACATCAAACTACGTTGCTAACAAATATATTAGAACCTAAGAAAATTGACAAGAAACGGCCAATAGGGCTCACAAAAGTATCAACCATACCTACAGTCGCACGAGGGTAATTTGGAACGGAAACTTTAAATGCTTTAAATGTATGGAATTTTAGGCATCAAGAAACTGACGCAAAACATTTATCAAGATTGAAATAGCAGCGTCAAAATTGACAAATGAAGAATCCATTAAGTGAGAGATTTGATTTTCATTATTACCCTGACAGTAATCACTTACCTCTTCCAGATTTTTGAATAGGTAGAATAAAATGTATTTATATTCATAGTGGCGATAAAAAATGAAGAATAAGCTCCAGGACTTCGTTGCTCTGGTAATGAGGTTGTGAGATTGGAAAAAATAGTTTTCTTGTTACATACTTTTTTGTCTGTTTCAAGTCCTTACAGTTTCAACAAATACCTATTTTCATTAATTATAACGTGAAAAAGTGCAAATCAACGTCCCTTTAGGGCAAAAAATTATGTTACGGTGCGTCGTAAGGAACGGATGGTACTTTTCATCATTATTATATTTTTTACCGTTACAACTTATTTTTTAATTAAATATACTGTATGGATCCTGAACAACAATATTTTTAATTAGAAGAATTTTTTCAGACAAGTGGCAAGAATAGATGTAAGATTTTTAATTCAAAACGTTTCATATTACGTGTAAACACACTATGGTGTTCCGTTTAGTGAGTCTTGGGCAAATCCGACACGAGAGGAGGGGGTGCTAGTGAACTATAAAAAAGATCAAGTGGTAGTCGGAAAAAGCAATGTCTGAAAAATACGATGGGTGGTGTATGTCATCCCAATTAAGTACTTGCAAAGTTTTCTGATGATTTTAGCAACATAAGGCCGATGGTTTTTGTGCTGAAAACTCACTTTCTCATGTCTTCTTTCATTTTGGGGTCGTTTAAGCTTTAATGGTCAGCTAACTTGCATTAATTATTATTTTTAACAATTTGTAATGATGGTTTCACAAGGATGGAATAACTCATCAGAAATCATTCCGCGCCAACCCCACTAGATTCACGACATCAGCTTCTTGCTATGAATATTCGATTTGTACATTAAAGTTAACGAGTGGTCCAGCTAACCCTATGATATCCTGCACTTTGAGTTATTGTAGTAGATCGACTTTTTATCCACAGTCACAATTCGATGCAAAAAAATGCAACAAAATACTGTTTTGTTGGCACATCATTTGACATGTTTTAAACACAAAAAATGCTGGTTTAATGGCTTGGTAAAAGACAGAGCCAACTCAAAAAATTCATGATAAAGGAGTCAACTTCAATTTGATTTGAAAAGGTATTCAATTCAGATTTGACTTGTAAAGGCAGTCAAATTAGATTCAGGTTGAATCGGCTATTAAGAAGTCAGTTTTTTTATCAAGTACTGTCATGGCGGCACTGACATTTACAATATAGGTATACCTATCAAAAGGAACGTAGATTTATTGATTATCCAATATTTCAGAAAAAAAGTTAATGTTCATTTAATAGAGTGCACTATACTTATTAAATTATCATTTACAAGTCTTCTACGGTCATAGAAGGAAAATAAAACGCTGCGTAAATATGGCTGTGACGTTGTGTACGAAAGTACGTATGTACGAATACTTGGCAGATAATAGGATTTTTATGCATGACATTATCAAACTACGTCTATGAATTGAAACAATTCGTTGATTAAACATTAATCAAAGAATTATGTCGTTTGTTGAACATGTCGTTCTGCTCTCAGTTGTTTCCATGATGACTTGAGGGTCAGTGCCTAAGCACACGATCAGTAAGAGCTAATAAATTAGGAGTACGAATGAAAACTCCAAAAAATCAGGTGTTAGTTCGAGTAACGTTTCGTTGGTCTTAACGCCAACCTCATCAGACTCAGTCTATATCATTAGTCAAAGAATACAACTAAAAAATTCAATTAAATACTGTGAAAAAAAATTTCAGAGATGTACCAGAGTGGTGTCATCTTACAAGAAAATGACGTCGCATTGGCATAGATTATTATCTTTCACAGAAGAAAGAAAATTCAAGATTACAATAACTGTTTAAATTCATGAAAAAATTTCATTTGTAGTTTTAATAAGTTTCTTATTTAACATTAGGTTTGAAAATTAAAAAAAAGTATTAAGTTTTTTAAACAACACTTGAAACAAATTATATTTTAGTAATTAGTGAATCACGCAATTAAATAAAAATAGTACGCTACATTATAACATAAATTGTGTTTCTGAATCATTCAATGATGAAATATCTGTTCATTCACATAGGTATATCAATATTATAGATGTCAGAGCAGCCATGACAAAATTTGATAAAAAAAACTTACTCTCAAGTTAGCTACTTTTTTAACCCGAACCTGAGTTGACTGCCTTTTCAAGCCAAATCTAAATTGACTGCTTTTTTTGATATAAATTGAATTTGACTCCTTCCACTTGTTTTTTAAGTTGGCTCTATCTGTTACGAAATCGTCGAAATGCTTCTACTCCTCCAAAATAACATATACTGTTTATAAGAGAAAAATTATGATGCTTTTATGTTAATACAGTTAAAAGATGACCCAATACAGTTTAATAAGCTATCGAGCTACAACATCTTTTGTGAATCTCCAACAATTAGTTTGTACACTTAATATAAGCATATTTTCATTTAAAAAAAATAATACATTACGTCACTGGGGTGTGATTGCTTTACTTTTGCACTCAAGTCTCATGTATTATTTTTTTCTCGAGGGTGCGAAGTTCCAAAGGGCAACTATCCATCTTGACTCGAAATGCTTCTGTAGATAATTATATGTTCTATATTTTTCAACTATTGATTTCAAGTAAGAATTACCCAATACACATTTTATTGTAACCTTTATACTTACAATATCACTCATTTTTTAAAGATATATTTGTACATATATTCATGTGGCTGTATGTTTTAGTGGATAGGTCCAGAAGGATCTGACTGTGGAATCGTCAATGTAAACATTGGAACCAGTGGAGCTGAAATAGGTGGTGCATTTGGAGGAGAAAAATCAACAGGAGGAGGACGTGAAAGTGGTAGTGATGCATGGAAACAGTACATGAGAAGATCAACAGTAACAATTAATTATGGAAAAGATTTGTCATTGGCACAAGGGATAAAATTTGAATGACACCTATTTATTGACTAAAAATCTTATAAAATCAACTGCTATATCAACACTTTTTTTTTTATGAAACTTATAAGTAGAAGGTACATCAAATCGTAATTCTGCTATAACTTGACTTTTCAAACCAAATTGCTGAGCTTTTTGAAGAATATGATTTCGAGTACTTGTCTTATGAAGTGAATATATCACTTTACACGATATTTTTGAAGCAACATCTAAAAATTGTATGTCCATCCCATGATTGTGCTTGGTACCAAACGGTGGATTCATTAGAACAGTGTGGAAGAAATTTTCATAATGTCCTGAAAAATAATAAAATTAACATCCTAATTTTCTTAAAACAAAAAATATTTGAGAATTAAAAAATGCAATATTTATTTTTGCGACTTTCTTATGGACTATATGTTAAAGATGCAAACAACTTTATTTAACATTAGTGCTATAACAATTTAAAAAATTTTTAAGATTATTTAACAGTGTGCTAAAGAATTAAACGTACTATGACCAATTTATATTTATTGGGCAAGACTAGATGCAAACCTTTACAAAAGAAATGTCACTATTAATTTTTTTATCTGTATATTATATCAGAACAAATTCTGGCATAACTCAGACTTCAAGAAGAGTACTCTTTAATATGAAATTTAAAGCCAACAATTCTGTGCGACGTACCCAAGATAATAGTTAAAAAATGTAGGGAGAAAACTTATAAGCGAAATTGTCAAGAAAACAAATTATATTAAGACTTGTCGTACTTCTTACTTAAACAGTTATACCCAACTACCGTCCAGAAAAAAGTCGTTACATACGGTTTATTCATAACTGAGAAAATCGTTTAAAACTAATTGTATTTAAAATGTACTAAAAGTAGAACATTTTAAAAGCAGAAAAAATAATTCTAGGGTAAATACGACACGATCTTTCCACTTTATCACAAAAAATCTATTTTCCAATGAAAAACTTCAAAAACTGCATTTACACCTTCTGCTTGGAGTATTTTCCTTGAAAAATATGGCGTTTAGTGGACTTGATAAGAATAGATGCAAGTATAAAGCATAAACATTATTAGGTACAATTATACTTTGCTAATCTCATGTGAGATTCGTGACGCCATCGTGACTAATTTTTACTCCTTGTTATGAATAAATCCATTAAAAGAAAAATATACGAAATCATAATTCAACACACTTATTACTTATTACACAGTTTCTGTCCCTGTATACAGGGAGAACAGTACGAACTTTACGCTTAGTGTGACATAAAAGTTTTTGTAAATCTGATCAATGACATTCTAGTGTTAAAGAAGTATATTTACGAAGAAAAAGAATCGAAAAATCTAGAAGATTCGAGAACTGATAGAAGTGAAAGCAATTAAATATGTATGCAGTGCTATTTCAAATAAGCGGCTGTCATATGTCAGGCTATTGAAATTGCATGAAAGCAGAGTATTTGTATGTGTGCTAGAGTAGAGACAAAGGTCTAAATGGGATAGGGGAGCAGATTTAGAAGTCCTTGTGGCTTATAAAAATGTAAAACATCGTATTTTGATAATTAATATAGTTATTAAAGCAACACATGTAGATATCACAGAAAAGGATGAATATTGCAATGGTTTGAAAGATGACAAAAAAACGGAGAATAAAAATAAAATGTTCGATAATAAATCTGAGTCTAGTGATGAATTTAGATATGCAGAAAATGAAAGTCATGAGAATTTTACCAACAGTAAGAATGACTTAAAAAATCTAAAATATGAGAATATTAATAGTAGATCAAAAAGAAATGTGAGTCATCTGGCTAGGTATGATGATAATTATGTGTATAATATTATTTATGTTAATTACTGTAGTGCAGAAAATCCTTAAGGTTTTGAATATGATAATTGAATAAATGCGATAAAAACAGAAATAGATTATTCGAATAAAAATAAGACCTGTATATTGGTAGATCAGCTGAAAGATAAGCAACTTCGAGATGTAAATTGGGTTCATTTAAAAACGGAAGAAAATAAATACAAAGCTAGATTAGTAGTTAAAGGGTTGCAATAAAAGGAAGTTATTAAACATATTTATTCTCTTGTAGCTAACATGGAAACTTTAAGAATCGTTTGTTTAGTTGCCAATAAAGCAAAATTATATCATTGATCAGATGTATGTTAAAACTGCGTTCTTAAATAGAAAAGTTAAATCAGACGTATATGTCAAACAACCACAAGGTTTTGACAATAATTCTAATAAGGTATGTTTATTGTAAAAATCATCGTACAGTTTAAGAAAAAGCCCTAGAGCTTGGTTTAAATGTTTTCATAAATTAATAAAAAACTAAGGATTTGAAAATAGTAAGGTAGACAACTGTTCGCATTCTTTGTGCAATCGAAAAGATAAGGCCTACATTATTTTATTTGTTGACGATTAATTAATTTGCTGTAAAAGTCAAAAAACTATTGATGTGATTAAGAAAAAATTGTCAGAAAGATTTTGCATGAAGGATTTGAGAAAAGTAAAGAATTATTTGAAATTAATATTAATTACAATCTAAAGAAGAATGTTATATTTTTAAGTCAGACTAGTTATATTAAATTTTTGACAACTAAGTACAAACTAGATAACACTAAATAATATAATACATCAATGGAAATCAACTTAAAGCTAGAACAAGTAAAAAGTTAGAAATGGTTGGAAGTAAAGAAATCTGGTAAAATTTTATATATTAGTTCAGGAAAGAGACCTGACATAAGTTATATCGTAAACGATTTAAGCAGATTTCAAAATTGTTATAATGAAACATACTTTAAGTATGTGATGAAAGCTTTGAAGTATGCACACCTTACTAGCTTTTAGAAATAAATGTACAAGAAAAATGAAAGTGTAAATATTCTGGACTGTTATGTAGATCTAGATTAGACAAGTGATAATAAATATAGGAAGTCTACATCTGATCACACAATAAGATATTTTGGTAATGTTATTTATTGGAAAGCACGTAAACAGAGCAGTGGAACAAAATCATGAACATTAGCTTAATATGTTGCATTACCAGAGGCCTTAAGTGAACTAAAATTAATGAAAGATTTGATACACATTTTCTATTTAAAGTTAGAGAAACCAATTCAAATTTACAAAGACGATTATGGAACTGGAAGCATAGCAAAGTTTGGTAATTTCACGAAAAATTCAAAATACATGGAAGTACATTATTATTTTGTCAATAAGAGTTTTTTAAATGGAACAACCAATATTATCAAGGTTGAATCAGAAAATAATACGAATCTGTATACGGCTATGCCGAAGCATTCAGCCATGCATGTAAGCAGCGGCTTGTCGTTGGCTGTATTGGGTATCATTATTATAACTATATTCACTATCTCTTTATAAAACCTATCAACTAATACAAAGTGTGTCTATTCATTTTCCTCGATCCACAAATAATTCCTGGAATATTAACAGTTATGTTTAAAATAAAACTTCTCTATTTTATATTTTTCGGTAAATCTAAGAGTTAAATGCCCTGTCTTGATTAATTTATAGTCGACTTGCAAAACTCTAATTGATTTTAAATTCCAAATAAATGTAAACGGTAATACACCTTTTGATTGACGTAACCTTTACCTTCAACTATGTCTTAAGAAATATTTTTAAGGTGACAATCTTTTTAAAGCTATAGACAATTTAAAAATAGGACGAACAGCATTAAGTATGTAACATATAATCTATAGTGTTGCAAAATAAAGTAATTCCTTAACATTCCTAAACATTATTGTTTTCACTGTACAACAAGTACTTTGCTCAAACCAAAAAGGATAACAGATTATTTTATGAAAGCGCAATAAAGTATCAACGTTACATAGACTAGCATTTTTAAATTTAAGTTTTAGTCACATCATTAAAGCAGAATATTTCTTATTGATAAAAATGGTGAAAAGTTTAAATATAACATGTTAAAAAATACAACTATACTTTTATGTTTAAAAAAACTATTTGCAAATTGATGCAATTTTTCATTCTTAGAATATGTTGTGCAGGCAGTCCATAAAATTCGATAGATTTAAAGCTATTTGATTTAAATGGATAAGATTTTAAACGAAAATAAAATGTTTTTTTGGAATAACAAAAAGTATCTTTATGATACTGTTATTGATATTATTTTTCTAACTTTTCCTTAAAAACTTGTAAAAAGATTAATGGCACAATTGGACGAAAAAACATACATAATTACCACGAAGTTCATTAACCTTACTTTATATGATTCCATATGATAATTAATAAACATATGAGAGATGCGATGATAACAAATGTGACTAATAAAACGTTTGGATTGGAATAAACAAGGGGTGAGTTCACGTAACAAAAAAACGTATTAAGATTATTAATAAATTTTATATTATTAAAATATAGATACAGGCCCCTTATCAGTTCAACATATGACGAGCAACTTTTCAGTAAGATACGGCGACTATTCTCTGCTTGAGTACGTGAGCGGTTGACTATATCGAGAGTACATTGACGACTATCTTTTCATCATTTAATAAGCAAAACTTGTACGTAAGAGTATATGCGTACATCATAACTATGAACGTATAATTCATGATTAACAAAACTTTAACTATTCACTTATACACGCTTCCATAAGTTTACAGTCTTGTTTTTTGTAATTTATTTCTTTTTTCTATTTTCACAAAAGCTTAAAAAAATTCCTGTCCATTATAAATTTCTTTTTTAATTGTTTTGTTGAAATAATTTTCATTTCATCAATATTTCCATTCTCATAATTGTCGTTTACGTAATAACACTGCACTTCGAGAATATTTTAAATTTTTCGCAAAACCGCTACATTTCGCTTTAATAAATAAACCTGAGTTATCGTATATGTTATCAAATTTAACATCTTATTAATCACTTAACATGCTTTTAATAAACAACACTTCTGTGACCTCGTCTGGCAATGCTGCGTAGTGCGCAAATGTTTAACATTCTGTTACATCGTTTTGTTTATGACTTTTCCAAAATAATGCAGAATCATACATGTTTTTACGTGTGCTGTGGTGAGTTGTATATCGACATTATCTTTTGCATAATCGGAATCGACCATACAATCTAAGGTTTTTTTACTACAGTCAAATATAAGTTTTATCTCTTTCATTTTAACTCAATATCTTAGAATTCGCACGGCATATCTATGATGCATCTGATTATAAACATTTTAGAATTTACTGAAATAATTAACACTAATTGTTATACATCGTCAAAAAAAATCACTTATATATAAAAGTTATCCTGTTAAATTTCTATATTTTATATTTTCTTCACAATATTTAGCTTTTTCTAACTTTAAATTTGTTCAA